CACACGTCTAAAAAATAGGTAACTTCATAGAAATCTAGATTACCAAATGCAATGAGTGTGCATTAAATGAAATATTTTAAAATCTTATTTTAATGTGAGATGAGCAAAATCTGGGAGAATGAACTGCCCTGCATGAAATAAATCCGACACCTGGCAAAGGCTGCTGCCCCATGAGGAACTATGCATTTTGCAAAATTCCATGCTGAGCAAAATCCGAGGTCCTTTAGTTTTGAATGTGGGAGGCTGATTCTACAAGAACTTTCGACTTTAGTTTATTGTGAGCACCCCAAACATGCAACGCTGACCGTCTTTTCCTTGGCTGATGGCCTAACTAGCATGTTACAATCCAAAAGCTGCCTTTCACTGAACGGTAGCCATTCTGACACACTAAACATTCACTTGACAAGATGATTATCTATGAAATTAATCCCTTAATATGACTTTTTTTCCCCCCATCAGCTTCCCCTCCACCTCCCAGTTAATTATATCAATAGTCTCAATCTCACATGACTAGTGAAATCTCTGCTGGTTTCAGCTTGAATGATTTTATGTAACACACTTGTGGTGCTCAAGTAACTTAAAAATTGCTTCTCTGCGTTTTGCCTCAACTGCTCAACCGCTCATTTGCCCACCTTTGTTCAGATTAACGTGCTGACTAGGGTTTTCCATTAGGATTGCTAAGGATGTAACTATTTTTATTTCCATTTCCTACTGCAAAACTTAAGTGGAAAGTTTACACATGTATTCAGTTTGTTTTTGCTAATACAAAATAAGAACAAATTATCAGGAAATGAAATAGTATTTCAATTTGTGTTGTCTAGTGAAGATGATGCTAAAATTGTATACTACAAAGCTTTCAAGGAACCCTGGTTAGAGACTGTCTTGGTGAAAGAATTCTGGCAGAAGCATATCTCAGCCCATGTGTCTGCATAGCATTTGTTACTACATGCATCATTATAAATGGACCAAACTTTGCCCGCTTATCTGCATCTATGCCTCTCGTAGGAACAGTGAAAGAAACTAATTTGTGAGCAGTACTTGACCCTTTGAGAACTACATGCATCTGCTTAAGGCCATTTTTCCACATAAAAACATTTTTCAGGAAAATGATTTAGCGTGCGTTTAATTTTAATGATTTGGCTTAAGTGTCTTTTTGAGTCCTTTATCAAGCTACAGCAATCAGCTGCTTAATAAATATTGGATTAAAGTCTGTAAAGGGAACACATGTATCAGAGACAAAAATGAAAGAACATTGCCAGACATTAAGCTCTTCTGGGGTGTTTGGGCTGAAGGACAGCTTTCATTGATGTTTGAAACTGCAACACCAATATTTTTGGTATTAAAAAAAGTTTGACAGGGATCGTAATTCTGGAAGCTTGTGAAACCCTCCACAGAATTTAATGCTGCTAGAGGAAAACTACTGAAAAAACCCCTATTAGCCCCAAATACACATTAATACCCCCCAAACTACTGCTGAACTCAAACTAGGATGGGCTGAAGCAATGCCGAAGAGAGGTGGAGAGGTGCAATGCTAGACCTTGTACTAACGAACAAAGAAGGTCTAGTTGGAGATGTGAAGGTTGGGGGCAGCCTTGGCTGCAGTGACCATGAGATGGTGGAGTTCAGGAGCCTGTGAGGAGGGAGCAGGGCAATGAGTAGGATTGCAATGCTGGACTTCAGGAGAGCTAACTTTGGCCTCTTCAGGGACCTACTTAGGGGAATCTCATGGGGTAGGGCCCTTGAAGGAAGAGGGGTCCAAGAAAGCTGGTTAATATTCAAGCGTCACTTCCTCCAGGCTCAAGATCAGTGCATCCCTCTGAGGAAGAAGTCCAGCAAAGCGGGCAGGAGACCTGCATGGATGAGCAAGGAACTCCTGGCAAAACTCCAGCAGAAGAAGGAAGTACACAGAACATGGAAAAGGGGACAGGCCACTTGGGAGGAATACAGGGACGTTGTCAGAGTATGCAGGGATGCGACAAGGAAGGCTAAGGCCCAGTTGGAATTAAATCTGGCAAGGGATGTCAAGGACAACAAGAAGGCCTTCTTCAAATACATCAATAGCAAAAGGAAGATGAGGGAAAACGTGGGCCCGCTGCTGAATGGGGCGGGTGCCCTGGTGACGAAGGATACAGAGAAGGCAGAGTTATTGAATGCCTTCTTTGCTTCAGTCTTCACTGCTAAGGCCAGCCCTCAGGAATTCCAGACC